AATTCGACTACAATATTTCAAATAATCGACATTGATGTTTTGATACATCATTTTTATACTCCAAATCGATCTATCACTCTGGGGCTGGTCAATTTTAAGTAAAAATGGGCTGCAATTATTTGCACCTTGGCTAATGATGACCTAATAACAGTGCTCAATTAATTACACCCGAACTGCGCTTTCTTCCTTCAGCGATGGAGGTGGGGGGCAATTCTTGGAGAACAGAACCTATGATTGTGTCACCCTCCCCTCTCCTTTCTATTCTATTTTGCCATGAGGGGGTCTTTGTCTGGTTGCTCAGAGATACCACAGGCTGAGGTCCCCTCACCTGAACGAGCCACTTTCTGGGTGTGTATTAGGGATAGAGTCCACACTTTTACTTTGCAAAGTCAAAACTACATTTTAGAAAACACAATCCTAACTCTCCCTCAGACCCCACATCCTTTCCTCTGTTTCAAGGATTAGATGGAAGAGATTTGCTCAAAGGGAATATTGGAAATTTCTCTCAGGCTCAGAGTGTGGTGAAAAGAGAGACAGAGAGAGAATGAGAATTTTAATGAAGTATGGATACAGCCAGTGCCAATTTAAAACACCAAGTCTGAGTTGAACCTCTCCCCCTGCCCCTAGCCCCTCTGACCTCCCCACACACCGCTGAGTGTTTATAGGCTACTGTTAAAAAAACAAACAAATACAAAAACCCACAAATAAAGCCGATGACCGACAAATTGCGGGAAAGGAGGTAGGATGCTGGGGAGTACTGCATCCCCACGCGTGCTTCCTGCCGCGGACTCTTGTTGGCTTTCTCTTTTGCTCTGTGTGTTTTCCAGGTCTTTCCCATTCCTTTCCAAATTTGGTGCGGTGGAGAGGAGGGAGGTGCAGGAGGTAACGTAGGTTAATTGAAGGGGGGAGGAGGAATCCTGGTCAGGCCTAGGATGCAAACTCGAGCAGTGCATTTTGAGGTACGGACCGGGTAGGAGGCCGCGGGAAGAGCGCTCTCACCCCTACCCCGACCCTCCGGAAAGGCTGGGCGCCGCGCGGTTCGCGCGCCCCGTGAAGCCCTGACCCTTCCTCAAATCCGCACCGAGACTGGGGCCTTCGGACCCAAAACTTAGCTGGGCTCCGCTGGCCCGGGATTCCAGTGTTTGCTTTCTTTCCTCCCAACTTCATAAATGCAGTTTTAAGCCCCTCCAAACCACCCGCCAGCTGAGACGCTGGGACTTCAGCAACACCTTAGGCCACATTAAGATGCTAACCAAAGGCAAGGGATGCGTGTGACCTAAGGTACCCGGTGGGTGGGGGCTAGAACTCCGTCGCGGGAGCCTCCGCCAGCTGCGAGGTTATCAGGCTCTGGCCGGGTCGTCCCAAGCCGTCTGCCCTGGAAGTGGAGGCAGAAACTAGAAAAACGGGCCGCAGGAGGAAAGAAAAAGGGGAAATAGCATCGAGATAGCGGAAGAGACAAGAGAAAGAGGAGCGAGGAAGAAAGAGAGGAAGGAAGAGAGCGCGGGAAGGAGGAAGAGACACAGCAAGAACCAGCGCTCGTCGCGTTTGGAGCCCCGCCAGATAGCGCTAGAGGGCTATTTATTGAAATCCTTTCTTTCTGCGAGATGGTGAAGCAGCTAAATGGGGAGAAATAAGAAATGAGAGGGCAAAAGGAAAGAAAGTACAATGATTCCACTGTATCTGATTTTAAAAATAAATTGTGGGGTGTTTTACTGTTATTAATGTGGGGGGGGGAGAGAAAAATGCATGGTGGAAAGCCTAAGTGGGGAAAAGGACCAAACAACAACAACAATAAAGTAAACAAACAAACAAATCCCCTTCTCTCAGTGGATCCCCCCAGGAAGAGAATGAACCAAGTTAACAGGTAAGGAAGTGAGTGGAATATTTGGTAGTCCAACTTTCAGAGCTGCCGGTTACACTGCCGGGGAGGTCAAGAACAGTTCACAAGGATGAGCGGAGGTTTATGAGGAAGAGATGTTTTTAAAGTAATAGATGGCTGCAAGGGGTGGGGAAGGAGAGACAAACACATTATTGGAAACGCCAAATAAAATATATATCAAAAATTCCAACTGTCAGCCAGCAGGTCTGAGCAGAAGACAGCCTCTCCGCCTTTGTCCCAGAGAGATGTTGGGCTCAGGGCTGATCCTGCAGGGCCACAGTCAAACTCCTTGAATAGCAATTTAGAAATACTCCGGGAAGCTTGGAGAAAAGAGCTAGACTACGAAATTTCACTGTGTCATTCAGAAGCCAAAGAAAGGTGCTAGGGATGGGAAAAGAAGACCTGAGGACTGAGGTGGAGTCCGGAGAGAAAGGGAAAGAGAATAAAACATTTTTGAGCCCTTTTACTTGCTCGGTTTAGTAATGCAAGAAAGAAAACTTTTCTCAAATGATACTTTTTTAAAGTATCAATTTGGTTTTATCCTAAAATCCCTGGCATCTCACACATGTAGCTTCCCATTTTAAAACTGCACTTTCCTTTTACCTAAAGGAATTTTTAAAATCAAGGTAATAAGCCATCTCTTTCTTCCAAACCAATAAATAGAACCTCCTCACATAAAAATAAAAATTAACCTTGAAGAGTTTTAAAAAAATCTACTTAATCCAAAATATTCCAAATCAAAACATTAAAGTTACAAACAAGATTAAGGTTGGATTTATTTGCTCCTCTAGCAAGGCATCAATTGTTCTAACTGTTGTAAGAATACAAAAAGGATTTAAACCCGGTGATTTTAATACACAGATTAACACTTCAGACCTCACAGTTCTGAGGAATTCTGCATTATCTGTGCTAAGGATCTATAACTTTCTAGAAAAAAAAGAAAAAGAAAAAGAAACAGCCACACAAACTCCTTATGAAGTGTGGGCAAATTCACCTAAAATAGAGTCTGGGTTCATAAATGCTCGTTTCAAATTAAATACTCTCTATAAAGCCAATGACCTTCAAATTAAGGAACTATAGCGGGATTCAATTATTCCTTTTAAATCTTAAATGTTACCTATAATAGCTTTCCATGTTGGGTCAAAAAAGAAAAGGAAGAATAGAAAAGAAGCAGTTTTCAGAAGTCTTAGGGATGCTTCAATAAGAAAGAGGTGATTAAAAACAGACTCTCAAATTTGAGAGGCCCGATTCCTCCTCCCATTCATCCTCACCCGCCTGGTCCCCTCCCTTTCACCTCTTTTTTATGCAGTGCCCCCACCCCCACTCCAGAGCTAAGTAGCTGATTTGGGATTCTGAAGAAATAGGTTTCACCATCCATATTTGTTCTGGGGCACTTGTAAAATGCGATTTGTAGAGGGTCTTTAGCCTTCTGATTGTCTTTGAATTGTTTTTACTGAAACAGATCTTTTGCAGTTAATGAGTCCCCACGCAGCTGGACAGCTCCTCTCGGACACTGAGAACTCTAACCCTAAAATGACCCCAATTTGACACCGCAAGATGAAATTTTACCGCCTGTTAAAACCATTTCCAGCCTGGGCAGAAGAAACTGACTGTTGACGGAGGTGTGTGCCGACTTCTGCGACCCCCACCTCGCACCAGTCTCCTGGGCTTGCCCCACCTACTTTCCCTTCACCCCAAATGTGGGTGAGCAGATGAGCCTCAAGAGCAGTCAGGGTGGGGGTGCCAAGGCTGAGAATGGGACATCGGCAAAATACCATGAGGCTAGATATCAGAAAGTGTGGGTACCCCACTCCTTTGGAATTGCTTCTATTGGACTGGAAAATTGGGAATGGGGGAAACCAGGAAATTCTTAAATGTTAGATGAGTCTTTTTCAGCTCTATTAATAAAACACCAGCAAGTTACTGATTAAAAGTAATAGCCCTTTGAATTCATCAGATTGACCAAGAATGGACACCCTGAATCAACTCCAACTTGATGTAATGTGTAATCCAGTACATTGGGATTGCTATTTTAAACTAACAATTTCATAAATGACATGGAACTGGCTAAGTAAAATCTCTTTAGGTGCAAATAATTCGGGGTTCTCTCCCCTCAGACAATTCGCAAATTTTAAAAGGACACAGATTCCCTCCAGTAGGGCTGCAAGTCTAACACTCTCATACTTCTTAACTAAAAGTCTTTGAAGTTAAAGATGATTTTTTTTTACAGTATCTTAAAATGTCATTTCCCTCTCCCTTCTACACCTAACCAGATTGTCCCTGTTGTTTGCTTTAATGTAGTCAATAAAATGCAAAAGAAATTACAGAATATGGGAGGGGGTGATGGAGTTCAGGCTAGAAATGCCTTCTGCTTCTCCCAAAAGATGGAAACACATAAAATTAAAGTTTATAATTTTCTTCTTTTATAAAACCCAATATTATCCCTGGATAACCAATCCAATATTAGCTTAACAATTCTTTGAAAATATAGAAATCACCAGTCTGTCTAAATTGCTTTTACTCAATTGCACCGCCACGGAAGAAACACTTTTTTTTTTTTTTAACGCTAGTTAAGTTTTTCTAAATCAAAGCTATAGGGATGCTAACTCACTTTACCGTATCACTATGAAAACAGAAGCGGTGGTAAAAGAAGCAGAGGGTGAATGCTGAATGTTTAAATTCTGCAATGCAGAGGTTCGGCATGAAGTTGATCTTTACAAAAGATGCGTTTATCAAGGAAATTGAGGAGTTTCTTTCAAAAAGAAAAGTAACTGGAGCGCACTGAACAGGACATTAAAAACAACAATAATCCTATTTTCGACAATAAAGAAATTTAAATTCTTATATTGAATTTAAGAACAATTGGAAGAGGAAAAACTGAATATAAACTTCTCAGCCAGCACCGGGAACTTGGACTCACCACCAACATCTCTACAAAGTCGAAAACCCTGTGCAGCGAGAGCAGAGTGGTATTCGCTCTCTCTCTCACTCACTCTCTCTCTCATCTTCCAGGTCCCGGCTAAACTGAATTCGCGTCACTGCCGCTTGAAATAAAATTCTGGAGACCAACTTTTTCTTTTCTTTTACGTCTTCTTTTCTTTTTTTTTTTTTTTTTACTCACCTTTCCTGATATGTCGACGAGCAACTCAGCAACAAACAAGAAGGATACTTTTAATCTTGGAGTTCTTCTAGGAAAAAAAGGCGGTGGAGGAAGTACCCTCCCCCCCAACCTTCAGGTTTCATACCCGTCGCCTCCGGTAGGCTTGAAGCCCGGGGGTGGGGTGGGGGGCGGAAAAAGAGTGGCTGAAAACCTGGTCTAGACTCTTCTCCCTGAAGCTCAGCGAGCCTGGCAGTCCCGGCCACCGGGGCAAAAACCTAGCGGCCCGCAGCCCCTGTCCCCGGCGTCGCGCTATCCGCGCCTCTGCCAGCCCCTGCGCACTATCTTTCTTTATATGTGAGGGCCGATTTCCCGCAGACATCATTGTTATGATGGCTCATTTAATCAAACTGTTTAATTGCTCTGGTAATCACTATCATCATCACAGGTGCTCAATCATTCATCATTTTTGGAGGGCTTTATTGACCTCCGGAGTTCATTCCCCAGCCCTTTTAAAACGAGGCCAAATTTCTCCGACTCCGCTTGGAGTCTCTGCAGGCTGCGATCTTAGCCCAGTTTGTGTTGCTCGAAAGCTTACGGCGGAGCAGAGAAGATGGAAAGGGGGCCAAAAAAAAAAAAAAACCCTCCCACCCGTTCTCCTCCCTCCCTCCCTCCGTCTCTGTCTGCCTCTCTCACACATACACGCGCGCGCGTGCACACACACACACACACACACACACACACACACACACTACTTTATTCTCCCTAATCAACCTCCCCCTGCCGCGGGAAAGTCGGCTTGCAGCCGCGCGCGCGGAAGATACCCTACTTCCTATTTTCCAGAATGGGCTCAAAGTTGGGGACGGAGGCGGCTGTTGGAGAACAGCCGACTGTTTTCCATTCTCTGGGCCGGGGACCGTGAGAGCTGCAGCGAGAAGTTGGGGAGAGGCGCGCTCCCCGCGCAGGGCCCGGCCGCGCCGCCCGGAGCCGAGGGGCGGCGGGGGCTGTCGCGCGGCGCGCGCGGGGTGACCGTAGCTCCGCCCCCAGCTCCGAGCCCGGCGTGATTGACGCGCGGCCGCCGGGAAACCGGCGGCGCAGAGGTGAAGCCGGGTGCAGCTCGGGCCAGGGATTGGACGAGACAACAGCCCGAACTAGTTTCCCCACGAACGGCGTGGGGTAGTTACCTTCCTTCCCTATTCTCCTCCTTTTCCTTTTTGGAAAAGTTCATTCCGAGCAGGCCCCATCTGCCTGACCCCGCGAAATCACCCCGGTGTAATTAACACAGCCATTAGCAGGCGTTACCGCGGCCGGCCGCTGCGCCTCGGGCGACCACAACAAAGCTGGGCTGCGAGCGCCGGCCCACTCCTCCTCGTGCTGCAACTTCTCTCGCCCGGTCTCTTTTTCTCTCCCTCCCTGGCTTTCCCTCCCGTGCTTCGCAGCTCTAAGTGAGATCCACTTTGGAGGCGCACACTAGGCGCCCGCGCGCGCGCGCGCACACACACACACCCTGGGCTACATCAGACCCAAACGACTCCCGCCTCACTTCCTCCCTCCCAATTCCACCGCGGCCCCCGGAGACTCTTGGGGTGGCCCCTTGTCCACACCGCTTGGAGGGAGTGTGCGCCTAGTTAAGCTGGTCTCTTCTGGTCCTGGAGAAAATGAAAATTGACAACAAGGGTCCCGAATCTGCACAGGAAGAAAGTGCCACTTAAAAAAAAAAAAATTCTAGCCCCATAGTAGTACCGTCTGCAGAGCCTGCTGCCCTTGGATGTTAGCAGGAAGCCTATGGGGCGCTGTAATCGGCGGCGGGCAGAGGAGTGGGGGGCCGCGGAATTAAAAGGAACAAAAGCGAGAGCGCCATGCCAAACGTCCCCGACACGACCCAGTTAGGCAGGAGCCGGGAGTGATGGGAAAATGAACTAGAAGTAAGTTAAAAAAAAAATCTGAGGCTGTACCGTACTTTCCCTGTGGTTTTCTGCAGTTTTCCTCTCTGCGCTCTCCCTGCGCTCTTCCTCTCTCTCTCTTTCTCCTTCTCCCTCTCCCTCTCTCCCCGTTCTCGCGCGCGCGCGCACACACACGCGCGGGCGTGCGCGCGAACACACACACAAACACACGCGCACACACACACACTTCTCTTCCTCCCCCCTCCCCTCTCCCCCGCCGTCCCCGCGGAGGAGCAGGCTCGCTGATTTGCTCGGGTCCGCCGGGCTCCAGCCTCCCCTCCCCCCGCCTCCCCCGCCCCCCCGGCCGGGGCCGTCCGATCGCACTCGCTGCATATCAGAGGCTCGGCGCGGCGCGCTCCTCCTTGCTCCCGCTCCCCACTCCCGGGATGTGTCTCCGCCGTACGACGGGCTATGGCCACCGCGACTTCCGGGTTCCGTCATTTCGTTCTCCCGCCGCCGACCCGCGCCGCCAAACTGAGGCTCTTCTATAAGCCAGGCAGCAGCCAACCTGCCAACACCTACTGACACTCACTCATCTCCCAGAGAGAGAAAGAGAGCGAGAGAGAGCGAGCGCGAGAGAGCGAGCGCGAGTGAGAGCGAGCGAGCGAGCGAGAAAGAGAGAGAGGGAGAGACAAAATACCTACCAGCAAAGGGGGGGAGGAAGTCCAATTTTTTGCAAACTATTCGTTTTTTTCCTTGATTTTTCTCCCTGCCTTCTTTGAACAATACTTTAAAGAGAGAGGGTCATATTCTAGATACCTCGGGGGCAAAGCTAAAAGAGGGGGGGAGGGGGGAGGAAAAAATTCAAGAAGCAGAAACCCCTCGCGGAGTTTTACTGGAAGAAAAAAAAACGGGTCTGAAAGATTCCTCCTCTTCATCATCATCAACCATCATTCATTCACTACCTTGACATTCCGGGCTTTGATTGACAGCTGGAGTGGCAAAAAGCCATGAAACACGACAGTTCGGTTACATGTGGGCTGCTGACGGGCCGCTCGTAACCTTCAGTTCGGGGGCTTGACAATTTTTTTCTTCTTTTTCTTCTTTTTCTTTTCTTTCTTTTTTTTTTTTTTCCAACTGAGGGGAAGAGAAGAGAAAGAGGGGGAAAGGAGGACCGAAGAGGAGGAGGAGGGGAGGGGGGAGGAGGAGGAGGAGGTGGAGGAGGAGGAGGAAGATCAGGAGGAGGAGGAAGAAGAGAAAAAAAAGAGAAAAAGAAGAAATATCACAGGAAAAAAAAAAACTCTTCGTTGTCTTGCCTGGGCTTTTTTTTCCCCCTAAAAAATAACATATTGGAGAATTGGGAGAAGTCTCCTTGGTTTGGAAAAAAAAGGAATCTTCAGCCTAGATCACTTTCTTATCCGGACTGGGATATTAAATATACGACACATCCAGGAGTTTATTGGAGCGCAGACTGATGGCGCAAAGGGTAGGTTTAAATCTCCAACACTTACCTAGATATAAATCCTCTCCTAAGAGGGGCCTGTCCCGGTGCCTCCTCTCCCTTCAACGCTGCTGTTGCTGCTGCTGCTGCTGCTGCTGCTGCTGCTCGCTGCTTGATGATGGCGGCCAGTATTTTAAAAAATAGCAGCAAAATTATTCACCGGCTTCTTTCCCCCCCGTGCCTCTGCGTGTGTGCGAGTGTGTGTGCGTGCGTGTGTGCGTGTCTGGGCGCGCGTGTTCCAGCGCTGTGCGAGCGGGCGGGCGGCGAGTGCGTGTGAGTGGTGTGTGTGTGTGCGTGTGCAATTGTTACACGCTTTCGCCTCGCTCCAGCTTTTACCCCAGCAGCGCGATTCCCCCGGTTCTCCCGCCGCCGCTGCCGCGCCGCTGCCGCCGCCGCTGCTCCCGCGGCTCCGGGCGGGCACGGGCTGCGTAGGAGCCGCCGCCGCCGGGGCCGCCGCTGGGGCCGCGCCGCCGCAGCTGCCGCGCCGCCGCCTAGACTAGCCTGGGCTGCTTGTTTTGTCTCTGAAATTGACAAGGACGCAGGGAATCCGCTGCTAAATAATGTTTCTGGTAACTTTCACATTATTCCCCCCCTCCGCTCCCTGCCCCCGGGGAGGCACTGGCCCTGCTCTCTCCGCGTCCTCGGCGTTCTCGTGCTGATTATTAGCGTTTTTCTTCTCTTTATTTTGTTTCATTTCGCCTTTTGATTTATTGGATCCTCTAGAGGAGGCGAAGGGGGGTTAGGGGTGGGATCCGGGGCTTCCTCCTCGCACTAACTCCACTTCTCCCTCGGTTGGCTCGCCACGGTCCTGCTGCCTCCGGCGGGAGCGGGGCCTCCCGGCGCCCCTCCATCCCCGGCCTCGCCGCCTCCGCTCCCTTCTCTACACGCTGCTCCTGGCTCATACTTTTCCATTTTAAAATTTGGAAGCATTTCTTCCCCACAACTTTCAACTCCGTTGTTTCGGCTGGTTTGGTTTCTGTGTGTTCAACTTGTGCTCGTTACTTTTCTTCTTTCTGACTTTGTTTTTATTTTTATTTTCCCTTCCCATCTCTTTCTCTCTCTCTCTCTGCCTCCTTCTCCTCTTTCTCTCTCTCTATTCCTCTCTCTCATCTCTATCCTTTCCCCACTTCTCTGTTCGCTCTCTTCTCCCTGCTTTTTTTTTTCTCCCCCCACCCCCCTTGCTCTCCTCTGTTCTCTCTCACCTCCTGCGCCCCCTCCCCCTTCCCGGGTTCTGACAGTACGATGAGCTGCCCCATTACGGCGGGATGGACGGAGTAGGGGTTCCCGCTTCCATGTACGGAGACCCTCACGCGCCGCGGCCGATCCCCCCAGTTCACCACCTGAACCACGGGCCGCCGCTCCACGCCACGCAGCACTACGGCGCTCACGCCCCGCACCCCAATGTCATGCCGGCCAGCATGGGATCTGCTGTCAACGACGCCTTGAAGCGGGACAAGGACGCGATCTATGGGTAAACCGACCCCCTGGACCCAGCTTACTGTGTGTGAGTGTGAGAGTGTATGTTTGTCTCTGTGGGGGGTGGGAGGGTGGACGACGAACTGGGGAGTTATTTCTGTCTGGGGTGTGTGTGGGGGTCTTGCTTGCCTTAGGAAAGGACAGTGGAGGGGGCCTGCCCTTCTGCCCCTGGAGTCAAAGACCCGGAAGGTATAGCCTCCTCCACTCCCACGGCCCGGTCACTCCGGACCCTACATCCCGGAGTGACTGAGTCCTCCGATTCTTGCTGGGGCCTTCTCCCCAAGGACAGGATTCCTGGCCAAAGGACGCAGGGCTGGACGTTTCAGGCCCCCTAACAGAGGCCTTGACGAAGGGGAAAGTTTCCTGTCGATGAGGAGCAACTTTGCTCTTGTTGTTTTGGGTGTTTTTTTTTTTTCTTTTTTCTCTCTCTTGTTTCCTACTGAGGGTCTGGGAGTCACTAAATGCAGCTTGAGCCGGGATCAGGGCTGGTTCTGTCGGCCAGGAAGTCCTAATCACCCACTTCTTAATTCTCTGTAAATAAAGGGGGCAGACCTTGAAGTGCAGCGGGGTGGAAGGGACTGCTGCTTGCATGGCTCGGCTCTTGGGGGGAGTAAGGAAGATGGCTGGAAATTATTTTATATTCTGAGAGCACTCGGCGAGGGGTGAGATGCACAGTTCAAACGTGTACCACACCGGCTCTTCCGGCTGAGGGTAGGTGGGGAAAGCGGCGGGCTTGACGAGGGGAGGGGACACTGGGTAAACAGCAACT